TGTCTCAGAGAGACTTGGTTGTAGTGTTAGCTTTTCTGAATGTGGAGGAATAGATATCGAAGAAAACTGGGACAAGGTATGTGAAATGTGCCCTTCTTTTTACAAGGCAACTGAAGATATGTTAAAGTTCAACATCAGTATTATATATTTTTATAATGATTTGACATGACAACTTTGTTAATCCAGGTTAAGACAATCTTTTTGCCAACGGGGACATCCTTTACATCAGAGATTTGTGCACCACTTGTTGCTACTCTACCACTTGAGGTAAATGTTCGAAAGAACCATAACCTAGGAAAAGTTTGCTCCTTGAATGCCACCTGTTAAAATTGTAACTTCATTTTATGTTGGAGCATTGAGTTTTGTTCTTATTCTTCAAAAAAGATAGGAAAAAAAACAGAGATCTATATTCTCCGTATTCTTTTGCCATATTTGTTTCTGCAATGTATATCTGAAATCACTGATGTGAAATTCACTTTTATTGTACAGATCAAAGGAGTAATTGAGGAGTTCCTCAAAGTGGTTTATACTTTGTTTCAAGGTATGCCCAAATTGCGTTATCATATCATCTTAATAGCCTTTTGGATTTTCTTTAGCCTCTGAACATTTCCTTGTATCAGATCTGGACTTTACTTTCCTGGAGTTGAATCCTTTCACGTTGGTCGAAGGAAAGCCTTATCCACTGGATATGAGGGGAGAGCTTGATGACACTGCTGCTTTTAAGAATTTCAAGAAGTAATGTCTTGCAATTTAGTCGCTGACATTTACTTGTTCTACTGTTTTCAGGAAACATTGAGTAAAAGTAATGTGCGCATCATTAGTGTAACATTACATCTTTTCTTCTGCAGGTGGGAGAATATCGAATTTCCATTGCCATTTGGAAGAGTGATGAGTGCTACAGAAAGCTTTATTCATGGGCTAGATGAAAAGGTATATCTTGACTCTTTGGCATTTAATAAATAAAAAGTCATGGGAAACAGAAGACTCAGAATTGTCAACCCTCTCCCACTCCCTGGATGTAGAAAAAGATGTATTAGTCTCTATTTTTTGGAATAGTAAAGAGATGAATAAGGATCAAACTGCTGTTATATTCTCATCAATTAGTTTTTCTAGAGACTCTTTTCCGTAATGCATACTCAAGATGAAAAAAGGATGATTCTTTTAATATAGATGTGTACATGCACGTTTGTTGAACATGAAATATAGAGCATTAAAGTACTTGCAAAGTGTCGAGTCCAAACTCTGCCAGCTTTAGGTAGAAGATGGTTCTGTTAACAACTTATTACATGCTAATGCGTTCAATCCATCATTCTATTTCAGACAAGTGCATCTTTGAAGTTCACAGTCTTGAACCCCAAGGGGCGAATTTGGACAATGGTTGCTGGTGGAGGTGCCAGTGTCATCTATGCAGACACTGTATGTTTATCTCCTTCGATAAACTTATGCCGTTTGTATATGGTTAAATTGACTCCCCTTCTGTTGCCTGCACGGCTCTAATACACATGCTATATTACCTTCCCAGGTCGGTGATCTTGGATATGCTTCTGAGCTTGGGAACTACGCAGAATACAGCGGTGCTCCAAACGAAGAAGAGGTCTTGCAGTATGCCAGAGTTGTAATTGATGTAAGCATAAAGCATTTGCATAAATTTACAAGATTAGACATGCTTTAGAACTTAATACACAATCATGAGTTCGCTCGTTGTGGCATATTCTTAATTTATGCATCTAGAGAATGAAAACAAAAGATTCTTATTAGGAGAAAGATAGTCACTTCAATCCCAACTTTGCAGTGTGCAACTGCAGATCCTGATGGCCGTAAGAGAGCCCTTGTGATAGGTGGTGGAATAGCCAACTTCACTGATGTTGCTGCCACATTTAGTGGTATAATTCGAGCTTTGAAGGAGAAGGTATGAAATTAACCATCATAACTCAGAGTCATCTCCAATATGACTTGCAGTTATTTGGACACTCCTAACTCGGCATTCTTGTGACAGGAATCAAAACTTAAAGCTGCAAGAATGCACATATATGTCAGGAGAGGAGGTCCAAACTACCAAAAGGGCCTTGCCAAAATGCGGTCTCTCGGGGAAGAAATTGGCATCCCAATTGAGGTACGAATTAGCATCCAGCAATAACTAGCCTAAAGAGATTTTCTTTTTCAATAGAATAAACAATTTGACACAACTTTGAAATAGCGTTGTTAATTTTTCCCATCTCTTAATTTGTCGTTCTAGGTATATGGACCTGAGGCAACCATGACTGGCATCTGCAAACAGGCTATTGAGTGCATCACTGCAGCTGCATAGAGCAACCAACTCTGTATTATTCAAGCTTAAATGTTTTGGTTTTCTTTCTAGCTTTGTGTTAGCATGATGTTGTTTGCCAAAGATAAAAGAGATTGATTTGTATTTATGACATTTTTCATAAACGAGCAATCAAAAATGGGCTCTACTCTTTAGTAATGAGTTTCAGCTTATCAGTTCTCAAGGAAACATCAATTGGAGAAATTTTGCCTTTGTTTCAAATCAGTTCAGTATCTTTCTGCTGACACCCTGTTAGCAGAAAATTGCTGCTACATAGCATGAGAAGTATAAAGAAATCCTAATTTGTATAAAATAACCACTACATATTAAGATATGTAATGTGAAACAGTTTTAACAAACCACTTCTTAATGCATCTTAAACTTGCCAGTACGCTCGAGATCACGCAACCATTACAAGACTCATCTAAACATCAAGATAGACTAATTAAAACAAGCAAATAGTACTCCATCCATCAAAATATCTGTGATACCCTTGATTTTGGAATATCTCGGTGTTAGAGCATATACTATTAACCATGTGTTTAGATATGGTATATTCTAACAATTGTCATGGTTAAAAGTCAAGTGGGAGATTGTTGGAATATATACTATTAACCATGAGTTTGGTTTGGATATAGTATTTTTTATAGAATAATTGTTTATTCAATTTTAATAAAGTTTTAAATAGATCATATATCCGTCTCTGTCCTTTACTTATATAGTAGATGATTTAGTGTATAGAATTCAGCTTATATACGGAAGATTAAATCATCGGTTCTTATAAGTATAAAGATTATGTTCACAATCTAAGATGGAATTGGACAAACCATTGGAATGATTATAGCACAAGATTAAATATAATTTATCTTGATTATGGGAATGGTATAATTCCGACTTCTTGTGCTAGTACATTTTGTATGTATTGAACGCACCAAGTAGAGACAAGTATTTTTACCACGACCCAAAATCTCTCCTTAGGAGTCGTGATGGCACCTAGTCTCTAAGACTAGGTAAGCCTAACACATACTGAGTTATTAACAAATTTAAACCAATCAACCATTAAATATGAACCAGTAATTGCTATACATAGACAACAACCATCAATAGAAGCACAATATCCCAAAACCGGTAGTACAAGTCATAAGCTCTACTTAGTTCACTAGAAAATCTCTAAGTACAAACTGTTCCGGAATAGAAATAAACAGTGGTAAAGAAGGACAACAGAAGGTGATTCCGAGGCCTGCGAATGGGATGGCGGGTATACCTAGGGATGGCAATGGGGCAGGGCGGGCGGGGCAGGG